GTCCAACTCTCTTCCCTCCTCTACTTTTTCCCTCCTTACTACTATATTTAATCTTCTTTCTCTTCTCTCTTGCTCCAGCGTTCTCTTTTCCGAGTCTTGTACAATCCTTCTCATTTTCTCCAATTCGCTTTCCAAATTCTTTCGGGCATATCTTTCTTCTTCTCTAATTTTTTCTATTTCTTTTTCCATCTCCTTCTTTACTTCTTTTCTCATTTCTTCCATTAGCTCTTTTTTTAACTCTTTCACAATCTCCTCTCTCTGTGTTGACAGTATCGACTTTATTTCTCTTACAATATCCTCTCTCTGCTTATCCATCATTTTCTCTATCTTCTCCATATTCATACCCTCACCTATAACGGCTTGTCTCGACTGACTTTCTTTCACCCGTTTCACACTCTGCGTTGTTCCACTGTCGTCTTCCTTCCCACTGTCAGAGTCACTCGTTCTTCCCCTCTTCGACAGCAGCGATATAATGCTACTCGTGCTGTCCCTTCTACTTTTCCCGAGACTCTCTGCCTCTTCCCAGTTTTCTTTTCTCCGTCCCTCTCTCTTGCTTCGCGTCAACTCTGTTCCCCTCTTCAAAGCCTTGTCCCCACTTGTCGCCTCCTTCAATCCACTTCTTGACTCTATTGCTTTCCACTTCCAGCGGCGCTAGGAATGCCTCTTCTTTTCCTACTTTGTCCTCCTTCCTCTCACTCATTCCCTCTTCCCGTCCGCCTCGCGCACCAGTCTTTTCAATTATTCTCTTTGTCGCTGTTTTGACTTACCTCTCTCTCTCTCTCTCTCTCCTGGTAACACCAGTTTTTGATGCACGGCACTGGTCAATTTTCACTTCCTCCCGCGTTTGCGCAGAAGACCATACTTTCGCACGTGCTCTCTAACGCTGCCTCTTACTTCGATATCAAGTTGTAAAATTCGGGATGGCAGCCGGTGTTTGTTACCTTGGATCTCCAGATGTTCGAAGATGTGTGAAACCGATGTTCCAGAGGATTTTCTTCGGATTCCTATCCCTTTCCTCAGACAGGCGAACCTCCTGCCTTTCAGCTTGACGGATAGAACAGGCAGCTGGCTGGATTAAGGTTATGTTTCCTCGTTCCTTTTGTTTTTTATTCAGCTCGCGTCAGATGTGCTTCGCGAGCTGTTTTTTTGCCCAGCTCTCGATTTTATAGACTCGCGTCTGCTATAAGACAAACCCCGAAGGGAGATTCTCTACAGTATCCTCTCAAAAATTAAGAAAAGCTTCCGCGCTCTAAAGCACGCGTGTATTCCACTCACCTGCTCAACCGGAAGTCTCTATAGTATATATAACATAAACTATTGATTTTTAGTGCTCATATTGTAATTTTGTTTCTAACAATTGTTAGGCTTGCATGATGTAAAACATTTTTTTATTAAAAAAATTGTTATATTTTAAATAATAAAATTAATACTATTATGCAAATTTTATTCACGATTTCAGATATGAATAAATCTCGTTAGTTCAAGCCGGGATATTCCGTATCAGTCATATATCATAATTTGAAATATACATCCTAAATAATGAATTCTTTTCATTCATTTGCAAGTTTCGAAATGTCTAAAACAAAAGAAAATTGTATAATTAATTTGGTGTTTTGATTCTAGTCTGTGTGGGTTAAGCCAATATCAAATAACAAATTTTATGCTTTTTGTACGTTGTACAACTGTAAAATTGTTATTAATAATATGAAACGTAGTGCATTAATAAATTACATGAAGGGACATAATTAGCATAAGTAATTGGTTCATAATAAAAGTACGTCGCTTTAAATTTTTAAAAGTTCGAGCACAGCAACACCTAAATGAGAAACTCAACCTTTACAAGATACGTCTAATCCTAAAGGCATCTCACAAACAGGATTCTGGATCTATAGGTACTCCAAGATCATCCTCGTGAATATTAATTTTAGTCCTCAATCTCAATAGAATTGTACTTAATTGACTTTCAAAGGTTATAATGATATTTCGAAGATAATAAGTATGAAACAATTTCTCTTAAACGGTGATGTAACCAGAGATGCGATAGTGCTTACATTCAGTAATTCATTACAATTCGTTGCATAGAAAGTTCTATATATGTATATGTACAATGAAAACTTTATTTCTGGAAATTGTAAACAAATTGAAAATTAAATAAAAAATGTTCTTATATAATTGCATAAGATTTAGCTTTATATTTTCAAACTGCAAGAGAAAATGCAACATGTAATGCTTTAGGATTCGATAAAAGCCTGAATAAGATAAGCAAAAAGGAACAAATGGATTGTTCAATATTGGAATAACGAGAAAAACGAAGTGTCTAATCGATTTAACTTCTAAATTTTTGGGATAACACGAATGACTTATTCAATGGATTTAAAAATGGGATATCTCAGGATGTACTGAAAAAATTAATACAAGTGTTATTGGATGAACCGAATGTTAATTTAAAGCTTTTTAAAGATTTGCAAAAAGATTTAATTAAAAACTTTAATTCTAAAACGACGACCAAACTTCTTGATTTAGACACGGCATTTTATTCATGATACTTTTAAAACCAGTATTAACAAAACTGAGTGAACGCTTATATTGTTTTTACGAGCAATATATAATCTATTATATTTAATAATGTCCCTGTATATTAGGCTAACAAGAAAAAAAATTTTTTTGATCGGTCTCAACTCAAAGGCTTCCATTTCATGTTAAAAGAACTCCTAAATTTTTATTTTAAAATATTAAGATTTAGAGGTCACTAGTGAACGACTTTTAAATCAAAGTTTCGATTTTCCTTAATATACATGTTTGATTTGATGCAAAAATGGTTTAATTTTAAATGTGATATGTGACT